CGCGAATCCAGTCTCGTCACCTTTCTTTCTTCGAATGACTGATTGCTGAAGGCAGTCTTTCACACTTTGATTGCTGAAGGCAATCTTTATCTGCACCACAAATATCTAAGAGTCTAAGAGACCCTTCTAGTAGATCATCAACCCACTTATCATTGCATTCCCGAGCTAAGACTTCTTGTTCAATTGGTAATTGAAGCAACTTATCAGTGTAATCATGCAAGTCCATCATCTCATTCAGTTTGTGGCTTACTAAAGATGATGATAATGAAGAAGTGGCTTCAGAACTCCTCAATCTTTGCAAATGCTCCTCAAATTGTGTTACAAGAGGGTGAGCTGCCGAGGGCAAGCTATTGCAGCGAAGATGTAGAGAGTTTTGTGTTCTCTTTCCAATGGCTGCCATTTGTTTCAACGCCTGACTCGTTGTGGTTGTCATTTGCTTTATATATAGCAAATGTAGAAACAATATAAGGGAGACAAGAGGAACTTTTTTTTTTCTCCAATGTCACCTAATGAATATGCAATTATATCACCTTGATTTGGATCTCAGCATCTGAACAATCAATCATGCATCATGCTTCCAACTCATTCCTCAATTTCTTACTGGTGATGAGTTGGGAATCACATGAGTGGCATATATTGACAATACACTGGTTCATGCCGAGAGATGCATGCATTTTAATACGAGGTTCTGTCTGGAGGATGGGAGAAGCTGTTTCCTAACATAATTGATTTTCATTCTAAGAAATTGTCTACCTACAACAGGACAAATTCACGACAAGAGAAACCATTGGCTTCAGATGTAGTAATATATTGGTAACTTCTTGGTGGCAATGTTTATGCATTGTCCCCAGCTCCATACCTGTTCATTAATCTTCTGCTGCTTCCTTTTTGTATGTTGTAAGTTACCTGCCTCATTAACATGTGAACAACTTCAAGTGGGGTTTATTGATAATTTCTTCTGCTTCAATACATTATTCTATTTTACAGGATATTTTTCTTCTACAGAATTTTCTCTGCATAAAGGAGGTCTAATTGGATTACATTGGGGAATACATTTGGGATTCTGTTAATCCAAACTAATCTTAATGTCAACCCACTTTGGCACTTACAATTTGAACTAAAATCGAGATTTAACAACTAAACATTCAAAATTATCTACCGGTTTATGCAGCTTCAGTCTTCTTCAGTCTTTGATTGAAAAGGAGGTTTTGAATGCTTATTCGGAGTTGGACAAGACCGAAAATTTTAGTGATATTACGTTTCGTTGGCCTCTTACCCGTTAAACAATTATCAGTGTTAACCACCACTATCTCAATGATTAGATCAGTGTCTTTTATTCTAATTGTGAAATAGAAGTGGAATCAAGAATTCAGTCTACTAGTCTAATAGAGCTTGTTGGTAGGCCGTTGGAATATGGCTAATAATACTCTTTCAGGCTAAGTACTTTCAAACTTTACAATCTAAAATTGTAGATATGAAAAGAGTGAATTATTGGAATCACCTTCCTCCCTAAGCAAGGAGATCTATGTTTGGTATAACAACATGGAGTATTTGGTTACCGGGGAATGATTTTGTAAGGGCAAAGGAAATAATGACTTCTTGAGGCAATTAAGAAATTTGAAGGGGTTAAAGCAATTGTAAAACTTTATTGAAGGGATTTTTGTTACAGTTAAAGCAGTTAGCACTTTAATGAAGGGGTTTTTTATTATCAAAATCAACTATACAAGGTCATTTAACCATGGGACTATGTATAAAAAGATATAGGAAAAATTATAAGCTCTGAAGCTTAACGTATTTGAAATTCAATTTATGCCATATTCTAACCTTTTAGTAAAAAAACTTGACTGCCAAAATGATCAATGCTCAATTACAACACTGCAACCAAAATTTGAGTTAAATTTTTCAATATATCTATCTATATACATTTACAAAATTTGGGTTTCCTATTATTCTCTATTAGTGATTTAGAATGTTAAGAAGGGAAACACTAGTCTTTGTTTGTCAAACGCCTGAACAGAAATTCAAAACCTAAGATCATGAACAAACGACTCGAGTTGATCGTGCAGCCTACTCATGTTTTCAAATTTACTTGTTTGGGATAATATGCAGGACTGCAATGCTTCATCAAATTGGGCAAATTCACGATCTTCTGTCAACTTTGAGCATCCTACTTTCTTTGTCTGCATTAGTTTGGAAACCAACATTCAGCTGCTTGACTTTGATTGTGAAGTACCTGAGATCAAGTAATGCCTGAAATGTTGATAAAGTGACCCATACCACATTCTCCATTAAGTTAACCAAAGCTACTGATTGATTATCTTTGTTAGTAGAGGACATGCTACCTTTTGTTGTACTACCCTTCAAATTTGTTAAGGATTTTGAGATGGCCCCCTTTCGACCACCTTTCTTGAAGTCAAGAACTTCTTAATCTCAGTCCTGAGCTCTACTTCACCTCCCTTTCTCCTTCTCATAATTGATTGAAGTTCTCGCATGCACTCTTTTGTGTGAGAGTCTTTGGCGGTTGTGCACATTCATGTAGATCTGTGGAAGTGAGTTTGCCTTTCTTCTTCATGTTTTCTAGTGTCCTCAATTCCATATTTATTAGTTAATCAATATTAGTACACATGCATGTTAGCATGTGGTTTAACCTCTGAAACACTTTGTACAAGAACAACTTTAATCATGTAACTTAATGTGCAGGTGACATTTATGTTGGTTATTTGGCCACTGGACCATGAAAAATTGAACTAGAAAGTTATTAGGATGTTCAAAGAGAGACTGTAGAGAACTTATTGGAACCCCCAGTAGTTCAAGGTAAAATGTAAAAGGAAATGGTTCAAGAACTAGGCTCATCAAGCTTGGAAGTACAGCAGCCTGTGATCCATCAACAATCAAGAGTCAGAGGTGTTCACTATTCTGTGAAGCCAGCCTCACGCGGTGCCTAGATCGGTAAACTAACATATTTGTCAGAAGTTTTATAAACACTGTTTTGTCATATATTCTAAATGATGTCTCAGCTTAGTTTTTATAGTCTCGGCTTCAGATGATGGTCAGAGTCTTGACAGACTCTGACAAATTTGTCAGTTTTGTCAGATGCTCCACCAATGCACATAGTTGCAACTCTGTCTTTCTCCTCAAAACACAACTCAGAGTTTGCTTTCAATATGCTTTGGATTTACTTCAAGACACTGCATTACTGACTTCAAAACCCTGTTCTACACTAATGGATCAACTTCATCATCTGCACAAAAATTCTGGACAGCTGTTAGATGTTACAAAATAAAGAAGGTTTACTTGGACGAATGATTTGTCTAACGAATACTAGGCAGACATATCTATGCAGTTGGTAATCTAAGTCAGTCTCTTGATTAACATATTGTGCACAACATCAAGCTTCTCTCATGCTATTAAAGTACATTAAAAAGTAACTATGAATCGGATTTTTCTTTCCTGCTGTATCAGATTCAAAAGTAACTGCTATTCTGTTTTTTCTTATGACAATATAATATCCTAGTACAGATTTTTCTTTCCTGCTGTATCAGATTCAAAAGTAACTGCTATTCCACAATATAATATCCTAGAAATTTTGCAGGGTTTATTGTAAAACCTAAAAGAATTGGTACTACAACTATCATAGACTAGAAAAGATAACTATCCTTACAAAAATTTTACAGAAAATGAACAGTTCAATTAAACTAATTACAAAAAAGAAAGATAAGAACAATTCAATTAAAGGAAATTTTAAAGATAACTATCCTTACTAGCATTTCTCAATTCAATTAAACTAAAATAAGAAATAACTATACTTACACACATTTTACAGAAAATTTAAGACCAGTTCAATTAAACTAATTACAAAAACAATTCAATTGAACTAAATTGGGGGGAGGGGACGCACCAGACTCTTGTTGTAGTGTAAGACAAGATCAATGCTTGGGAATCCCAATAGCAAGCTATTGTAATGGACTCCCTCCCTCAAAAAATTAATTTAATATCGTGTGAACCAATGGTCCACATATCAGATATTAAACTGATAAGAACAGATACTACACTTGATCTTAGCCAAAAGGCCGAGAAAGGTATGCTTTAAAGGTTGTAAGGGTTGCTTTTTTATATTTTGAACCCTAGCTGCTTGTCAGAGTCCTGACAAATGTGGGACTTTAAAAAAAATACAGGTGAATTTTATTCAATTTTGATGTTATCATGTTTATGTTTATAGACAAATGGATTTTGTGAAAAAATCAGTTGTTAGTCACGCTAATGCATGTACTTTTGTTCAGTAGTTACTAAAAATTATTTTGATGAATGTTTTTCTAATGGTACCTGCATCTCTTTCATTATATTTTTATGAATGAAATTGGAATGGCTCAATCAACGGTTACACTACTTATTCTCTGTGCAGCTACTTATTATTGGGAACAAAAAAACAAATAAAGAAGCATCCTGCGGCGATCTTCATCTTGGGATGTATATGTTAATGTAAGATCTACACATGGACGATTAAGATCATATGTGGCTATTCTATATCAGTAAGCAAGACTTCTTTGGTCGATGTAATTGTAGAGGCTTCAAATTGAAAACAAACATACAGGTAGAAACAGGTTTTCAACTACACTTCCATCACAGTGAAGAATTAAAGTGGTTGTTGAATATCCAAGACAGATTTGCAACTATGAAACAAAACAAGGAGGCACAATAGAAGAATCAGTGCACACTAATTCCAAATGACTTTTATAGGGAGTTCATTGTCACCCAGTAGTCACAAGTACAGCCAAATTCACCCCACATTAAATTTTATAATTTGTCTTTACTTGAACTCCATGTTAATCCTTGTGTTAACTCTGTTTCACAAATTTTAATTGTGACTTACTGTGGTATTTAATATTATTATGTGAAACACTTTGTACATAAACAACTTTGATCATGTAACTTAATGTGAAGGGTGACCTTTATGTTGGTTCTTTGGCAACTGGACTATGAAAAATTGAACAGAAAAAGTATCAGTCATTATGAATGGTCCTAAAGAGGTTGTAGAGAACAACAGATGGCCATTTTTCAATTGCTTTTGCAAAACTATTTGTACCCCAGTACTTCAAAGTAAAAAAAAAAAGTGATGGTTCAAGAGCTAGGCTCACCAAGCTCATCGGATTGGAAGTGCAGCAGCCTGTGATCCCTCCACTGTCAAGAGCCAGAGGTGTTCGCTGCACTGTGTAGCCAGCCTCACGCGGTGCCTCTGTCTGGGAACCACGAGACCAATGCCTTCGCACAGTTCTCCTGGGTCAGCTCCCAACTTGGGGTGGGCAGGCCAGCATGATGCAACATTCAAACCAACTTGGTAAAGCTAAAGCTTGTACCAAGCACCCCGGTGCCCCGACTTGGGTCACAAACTGACGTCACCCAGCTCGGCGCATGCTTGTCTGAAGTTTATAAACACCGATTTATTATCAAATATTCTAAATGATGTGTGACTTACAAATGAAAAATTAAAGAACGGATAGCCTTAAGTTAGAACGTGAGGGTTTGTTGATCCTCCCCATCTATTTTTTTTCCATGTTAAAAAGTTTCCCTTGAGTCCATTTGAAAGTTCTGAGGAAAACGTATATGTGATTGACGAATTTGCATAGTTAAAGTTTGTCTATAATTAGGTACTTTAAATGGAAATTAACAAGTAATATGATCACATTTTATAAATCATAAATTAATTATTCTAAATGTGATTTTGACGTACATACGAGTAACGTTCTTTTCGTTCTTAAAAAGAGTTTATGAACTCAGTTAGATAGATTAGTTGTGATATATTATATTTTTTTTCCTCTATCTTGGTCCATATTTTCAAATAAAATTTGATTTAACCAAAAAAAATAACTTGTCAAAACTGTGATCTCATAACAAACTATGTAACTTAAAGTTTCGGTTGTTTAACTTCATATTTTAAAATGATAAGATGAAATAAATTAAGAAGTAAGTGGGAAAATATTTGGTAAGGTAGAATATATTAATCATGTTAATCATTTATCTTTTTTAACTCCGCATTGGGAATTTTTTGTTAAACTCAAATATCATATATCGATTCCGTATATTGATGTTAGATTATATGTTTCTCACCCAACATCTTTAGACAATAAACATTGTACATGTTACGATTTTATTCATGTTTACATGGTTTCTTTGCATTTCATCAAATAATTACTTTTTTATCCATAATTTTATTATTATATATATATATAAAAAAAATTCGAGTTGACTTTAATTTAAAAATTTGATGTCACCCTTAATAACATTATTTATTCATATTTTTATTTAATTTTTTTAACTTACCCAATATGATAAATTACATATTTTTTTAACAAAACCTATAAAATAACAACAAATATAAATTTATTTTGAAATTTATCATGAAGGCTAACTATAATACATCTTATGGATACGAATTATTCTTCTTAAACATTTATTATGAAAAAAAAATCTTCCAAGTACTGAATTTATAACAAATAAATAGACATATTTCAGGAGTTAAAAAGTAAATTTTAATGGAGAAGAAAATGTACATTAATTCATAACCTAACAGCTTGAGCCAATAATTTACCAAACAACTCATCACAAATTTGAGTCTATTAGATTGAAAAAACAATCAATTTTGAATCAAAATAAAATTACTTACTTAATTTTTAGGTTATATGAGTTTGTGAAATGAGATATTATGATGTGTCACCTAACCTACCTATTAGTGATTTTAATAAAATATAAAAGTGAATCACTCTATCAAGGCTCACACAAAAAAAAAATTAACTCATTTTGAACCCCTAATTATTATATAAAGTAGAAGGAGAGTGTTTTCACTCCATTGCCTAGCAATTAATTCTCTTCCTCTGTATCATTCTCATTGTAATCACACAAACAATTTTTAGAAAAAATAGCATCTTTGCATCTTGCTAATTTTGATATTTAGAAATGAATTAAGGTATTGTGTGTTGAGATGATTTCTGTTAAAACTATTAGACCTTTATAATTGTCCTTCTATCGTGTATTTTTTTTATAATAGATTTATTTTAAAGATAATAATTAATTATCAAATTATAATCCAGAAATTCATTTTGTTATTCTCTATTATAAACTCAATAAACAATTTGTGCTCTATTCGATTTTAGGGATTTATATAGAATGTTCTATATTACCATTGCAATTTCCTAAATTTCTGACCTTTCTAAATAACACCATATCAAATATTGGGAACACAAAAAATTGTATATAACCAATTATTTAGTTACATATCCTATCTAAAAATCATGGTTATGTTTTGCCGTGTCCTCAATTTCATATCTACAAATTAATAAATATTAAGTATACGCAGAAGATATATTTGATGATGAAATTAGTACCTTAATCACTTGTCCTCTTTACACAAACACAACAAGCCCATTTATCATTTTCATTTATATATAAAACTTGAAACATGTGCAGGCAATAGGTTTTGATTTAAACATCAAGCTAATGACAGTTGTATGATTAACCCCTAATATATGCCTTAAAATTTACTTCAGTATGTAGTTACATGATTTGCATAAGCTTAAAATTATATATAATACTTCTCCTAGTTCAATATTGTGTTTTTCCGAAGCATGGTATGGTACATGTAACATGTCCACAAATGAAATCTGTTTTATCTTCTCTTTCCTTTCATTTATGTTAGATGAGTTTAACATGATTAATATATTTTGAAAGAAAAAGGGAAGTTGAAAAGTGAGATGTAGAGGTAAGGCATAGGAACTGGACCAAAGAGATAGATGATGAAGTATTATTAATAGTTTGATCCTCAAACAATATATGTATCACTAAATTACAGGCCTATTTAATCACATCAGCTTAAAAATAAAAAAGGTGATGGTTCAAGAATGGGCTCACCAAGCTAGAGGATTGGACGTGCAGCAGCCTGTAATCCCTCCACTGTCAAGAGCCAGAGGTATTCGCTGCTCTGTGAAACCAGCCTGACGCGGTGCCCTCTTGTCTAGGAACCAGGAGATCAATGCCTTCGCACAGTTCCCATGGTTCAACTCCCAACTTGGAGTGGGCAGGCCAGCTTGAGGCAAGCTCCAAGCCAGCTCAGCAAAGCCACAAACTTGTTCCGACACCTCATTGCCCTCACTCGAGTCAGAAGCTGACGTTACCCAGCTCAGCGATTCCATGTGTTAGTGTAATGTTTATAAAGCTTAGTATGTTACATATTCTAGAAAATGTGGGACTTGCAAATGGCAATACTAACCACAGATGGTCTTAAGTTGGAACGTGCGGGTTGATCCTCTCCGTCTATTTTCTCATGTTATGTTATGAAACCTTATAACCCTCTGTAATGCAAAAGGTTTCCGTTGAATCCATTTGAAAGTGCAGATAAGAACATGAAAGTGTTGAGTTCATTTTGATGAAGACCTCCGTCAGAAATGATGTTGGCTTGATGATAACTGAAATGTGGATAGGTCGTGGGTTCGACTCTCACTATTAACAAATAATATTTGTCAAATCCTCCAGGCCCAAAAGACTAGGCAGCAAGGCTAGGATTATTTATTCCTGCACTCCATATTTTCTTCCTACACTCAAATATTCATAAAAATGACAATATTAGGTTTCGAAAAATTGATTTTGGAAAATTTCAAAAAAAATCAATCCGAAAAATTTTCAGAAAACATAATCCGCAGATTAATTTTAGATTATTGATCCTTATAAAACAAATATTCGGTAAAGTTAAATATAAACAAATTATATTACATTCGTGTACAGCTGTTTGACACTCCTGGGAGAAAATTGAGTGCAAAAAAATCATACAAATACTCAGATTAGTGGTTAAACATGTTCAGAAGGAAAACTATGTTTCTAATTAATTTTCTTGAGAAGTGATCCACTCCTCTTTCTAGATCTTGAGTGAACAGCTCCAAATTTTCCATGACTTCGAAAATTCTCAATAGATGAAGGCTTGTGACTGATGAGAGTCTGCAATCTTTGAGTATCCTTTTGGACCACAGATAAACTGTAACAAATTTTCTAATGAGCTCAGGGTGATTGCTTCTGCTTCATTTAAGAAGCTGAGCATGGTTGAATGGTTGTTGTCCTTGTGCTTCAAATTTTGCAGGGCCTTTCGAATTTGCTTCTTGATATTCTTCCTTGCAGCTAAGTATTTCACATTTTCAACCGTGAATCCAATTTCATCACCTTTCTTTCTAGGAATGACTGACTTTAAGTCGCACATGATATCCTCTGATTGCCGAAGCCAATATTTAGCTGCACCACAAATATCCAAGAGTCTAAGAAACCCTTCTAGTAGGTCATCAACCCACTTATCATTGCATTCTCGTGCTAAGACTTGTTGTTCATTGGTAACTGAAGCAACTTATCAGTGTAATCATGCAAGTCCATCATCTCATTCCGTTTGTAGCTCACTGAAGATGATGACAATGAAGAAGTGGCTTCAGAACTCCTCAATCTTTGCAAATGCTTCTCAAATTGTGTTACAAGAGGGTGAGCTGCCGAGGTCAAGCTATTTCAGCGAAGATGTAGGGAGTTTTGTGTTCTCTTTCCAATGGCTGCCATTAAGGTGATGCGTACAGTTTGTTTGAATGTCTGACTTGTTGTGGTTGTCATTTGTTTTATATATCGCAAATGCAGAAACAGAATAAGGGAGACAAGAGGAACTTTTATTTTCCTCCAATGTCACCTAATGAATATGCAATTATATCATCTTGATTTGGATCTCAGCATCTGAACCATCATGCATCATGCTTCCAACTCATCCCTCAACTTTTTACTTGTGATGAGTTGGGAATCACATGGATTCTTGAAGAGTGGTATATCTTGACAATACACTGATTCATGCTGAGAGATGCATGCATTTTAATATGAGCTTTTGTTGGAGGATGAGAGGAGTTGTTTCCCAACATAATTGATTTTTAGTCTAAGAAATTGTCTACCTCCAACAGGACAGATTCACGACAAGAAAAACCCTCGGCTTCAGATGTAGTAATATATTGGTTAATTCTTGGTGGCAATGTTTATGCATTGTCCCCAGCTCCATACCTATTCATTAATCTTCTTCTGCTTCCATTTTGTATGTTGCAAGTTACCTGCCTCATTAACACGTGAACAACTACAGGTGTAGGTTATTAGCAATTTCTTCTGTGTAAATACATTAATTTTTTCGACAGAATATTCTTTTTTCCCAAGTGAAGGTTATTAGTTATTTCTTGTTGTTTTTTCTTATGATCTTGTGATCAGAAAATTAAATGCAAGGACAGCTCAGAAATCAAGTACTCGCTTCCTTATTATGTTTGTAATTGGAAAAGCTCAATCTTTTTCCTTAGGTTTGTGCAGTTTTCTCGGCATAAAGGAGGCCAAATAGGATTGTATGTAGGTTAGATTTATGTTGCCGGGCTTTCAAGTTTCAACAACCTTTTGCCACTTACAGTTTAAAGTAACATGGAGATTTAACATATTAACATTTGAAGTGATCTGCAGGCTTATGCATCTGCAGTCTCCTTCAGTCTTGAACTGAAAAGGAGTTTTTGAATGCATATTCGGAGTTGGACAAGATCAAAAATTTTGGGATACTAAATTTCCGTGCCTTTCACCCATTAAACAATTATCGGTATGAAGAACTAGTATCTCAATGACTTGGATTCATATCTTCAATGTTATCCTTGTTGTAATTATGAAATAGAAGTGGAATCAAGAATTCAGAATACTAGTCTAATGGAGGTTGTTGTTGGGCCTCCGAAATACGGCTAATAATACTCTTGCAAACTAAGAAGTGCTATTGAAATTTATTTATTTTTTAATTTAAAATTCTAGATATGAAAAGTGTGAATTATTGAAATTACCTTCCTCCCAAAGCATGGAGATCTACGTTTGGTGTAGCAACATGGAGTATCTTGTTATAGGGGAATGATTTTGTAAGGGCAAAGGAAATAATGACTTCTTCGGGCACTCTGCTAAGACAGCTTCATATCAGAGGGCTTAGAGAAATTTGAAAGATACTTGTGAAAGTTAAAGTCATTAGCACTTTATTTAAGAGGTTTTATTATCAAAATCAATGATACAAGGTCATTTAACCATGGGAGTAACAGTAAAAAAGTGCAGGAAATATTAAAAAATACCTTGTCTGATAACCATATAAGCTTCAGAATTTAGATTTATAGCCATAACGGAAAAGCTCTCCAAATTGCTATGGAAAATGCATGAAATTGTAAAATGTATCCACAAAGAGTTAAAGAAATAAACATCATATGAAACAAAAAATATGGTCAAGAGAGATTATCATCTAAAAATAGGAGCCAATTTCTTTAACGTAATCACAAAACATTGGCACGATTTTGTACAACTAGTGATTGAGGGTGTTGAGAAGATAAACTCTAATTTTGATAAAACGTTTAAAAAGAGTTTCAAGTCCTTCCACGAAGTCTTGAATGACTGACTCTAAATCTTCCAAATGCTTCTGCAAATCATTGATATTGTCAGACTTTCTTGTCATGTGAAACACAAACGATTGCAAGGCAGCATCCACATTGGAAAATTCATTCTGATCTGATTCTTGTGTAGAAGTGATATTTTTGTTGTGCATTAGTTTGGAAACCAAAGACCATTTACTTGGTTTGGATTGTGCTGATCCGGAGATGAAGTTCAGCAGTGACTCCAATATGGAAAGAGTGATTACTTCCACATCTTTGAACAAGTTAGCCAAGGTTGTGGTTCGGTGATCCTTGTTGCTCGGAGAGAATTTTGCTTTCTTCACAGTTGCCTGAAAATTCTCCAACGCTTTGAGGACTGCCTTCTTTACTACCTTCCTAGAGGCCAAGAATTTCCTGACCTCAGCTGACACCTCCATTTCACCTCCCCTTTTTCTTCTCATAATTGATTGAAGTTCGCGCGCACATTCCTTTGTGTGAAGCAAAGCATCCTTTGCCGCAGTACATACATCTAGGACACTTAAAGATCCATCTAAAAGCTCATCTACCCACTTCTCTTGACGCTCTTGGACTAGGACTTCTTGAGTAAGAGGCAGTAGAACCAGCTTTTCAATACAATCATGCAAAGTCTGGAGATCAGTTAGTTTTTGTCTAAACAATGAGGATGAAGAGGGAGTTGCATCAGAAGCTGAAGCCTCTAAACTTCCCAAGTGTTGGTTGCATTGTAGAATAAGAGGGTGTGGTCTACAGGGCAGGCTCTTTGAGCGAGATTGGTGATGAGAATGAGATTTTGGGCTAAAAGGGGTGGCTGCCATTTTCTCAGACAAGAGAAAGGCTTTAAGATTGATTCTATACAATTGAGTCCTTGGATATACCTTCCCTCCACTGGGATTAGCTCAATATATATTGGGAGTTCAGGAGACAAAAGGAATCAAATATTAACAAAAATCCATAAGGGCTAACTGATTCAGATTCAGATTTATCGAAGATCTCAGTAATGTTAATGCAGTGTCTCTTGCATAGGAACACTCCAACTCATGACTTGTCTTTTTTTTCTCTTAGCACACGCTTGCAGTAAAGTAATCCATATTGGTGTTATCAATGCACTAAACTCACGAGTGCCATTGTCTAATTGCTAGGCGTTCCTTCATTGCGATAAATGCAGGTATTTTATTGTCTTTTGCAAATAGAATAACCTTAAATTCAAATCACCAGTTCCATAACTGGAATCGTATAAATCAGTTGCAGTTATAGATGAACTATTGTACAAAACAGCAACTGCTCGCAACACAGGAAACTCATAATAATGAATCATGCTAACATAAGAAACTGACAAGTGACAACTAATTGGCTTTTCCCTCATTACAGGAAGACAAAAATCACGTTCTTCATTGAATTTCAGCACGTCAAATAAAGGAACATGTGCAGACTCTTAATTTTGACTATTGTTTAATCTTAAACCTATTTGCCCTAGTAATCTTGACAGCGAGCTATATATGGCTTCAATTTCAAACTGGCTTTGAATCCCATGTGGGATTAATAATTGAAATGGAGGGGTTTCTGATTAAGTAATTATTATATTAGCTACTCTGCCTCATCTTCATTTTTTATACATTCTTATTGCTTAGGTGAGAAATAAATATTCATTTAGAGATACGAATGAAAACAAGGCGAGCGAATACCCAGAAATACTGGGTTTGAAAGGGGATATACAATTTATAATGGCATTAAAGAAAAAAGAAAATATTATTCTACAGAACTCCTTTTCATTCAAATATGGTCGGCAACTTGGTATATCAGTAATTGGGTTGTTTAGGGATTACAATGAAAATAGTTTTTTTTGTTTTTTTTTCCCTTAAGATGTGCTTGGTTGAGTATGAGAAAATTGAGAATATGAAAAATTTAGAAATCAAAATAACTTCATACTTTCTAGTAAAGTTAAAATCTGAAAAATACAATTTCACTTTGAACCTTACTCTAAATTTCATTTTTCCCTTTCTTCTGTACATTCAATAACAATTTAGACTTGGGTAAGAATTTCCAAATAAAGAAACTTCATAAGGGGAAGGTATAAAAGATAAATTCAGGTCTATGTGGGAGTCACTTTCTTCAATCCATTCAATCAAGCAAACAAAATTCAAACATGGGCAAGGAATTTGCAAAGAAAGAAAAAAAATCAATTAACCTAGCAGGAAACAAAGGAACAAAGATGGCGAGTAAGAAAGAAAGAAATTTCTCAACAGATAAATAAAGGAAGTAAGATAGGCTATTATTTGATCCTTTGATAATATTGTATTTAGTAACAGAACAAGTTTTAATCACATGTAAATACAACTTAGGTCAAAAATTGAATTTGGGTGTCCTCATTCAACATTTAGATTTTTTCTCTAACTAGTGGCTCAAGATGTTAAGAAGGGAAACTCTTGTTTTGATGAGTTTCCTTGAAAGGTGTTCAACACCTACTTCTAGATCCTCAATGCATATCTCCAAATTTTCCATATGGCTGTGAATGTTCTCAACAGATAAAGGCTTGTGACTAATGAGGGATTGCAAAGTTGCATCCACCTTTACAAATTCATTTGTGTCTTGTTGAGAGTCACAGGTTATTCTATCAGGCTGCATCAGCTTAGATATTATCGACCATCTTCTCTGCTTTGATTGTCCCTTGGAGTCAGAGATAAACAGCAACAAGGACTCTAACGACCTCACAGTGACTGCTTCTGCTTCTTTTAAGATGCCAAGGATAGACAAAGCCTCATTGTCGTTGTTTGAGGAAGAAATCATTAACTCGTTTTTCATTCCTTTCAAATTTCCTAAGGCCTTTCGAATTACCTTCTCCATCCTCTTCCTATATGCCAAGTATTTTCCACCCTCAACTGTGAATCCAGTGTCAGCACCCTTTCTTCGAATAACAGACTGAACCATGTGAATGCTTTCCTTTGATTGCAAGAGACAATCTTGGGCTGTACTACAGATATCCAGGAGCCTCAGGGACCTTTCTAATAGAACATCAACGCACTTGTCACTGTATTCTAGGGCAAAGGCTTGTTGGGTAGTGGGCAACTGAAGCAACTTAGCAGCATAGTCATGCAAATCCTGTAAGCCGAATAACTTTTGGCTAATTGAAGATGATGACAAAGAGGTGCTTGTGGCTTCAGAGTCTTTCAATCTCTGCAAGTGATCCTGGAATTGTGATACAAGTGGGTGAGGTGAAGAGGGTAAACTGTTGCACCGAATGTGAAGAGAGTTATTTGTGCTTGTTTCCATTTGCTCTTGTTGGAGAGGATAATAGAGGGATACAGAACTAGGAGATGATATTTACAAATTTGTTCTGAAGTCTGAGTTGCCATCTGCTCCATATATAGCAAATGAATTGAGGGAGACAACAAGAACATTTTTGTTCCTAGATGTCACCAAAGGAGCTAGCAATTATATCATCTTGATTTGAATCTCAGATCTATGATTGTATTGTTTACTCCGCGCCTGTTTCCTACTCACCAGGCTTCTTTACTCACTTCTGAATATTTTTACTTGAGCATCACATGGTCGTTTGAAAATGGTATCTTTTGCAAGTTGCTGATAAAAAAACTCTAAATTCGTGGAGCATGCATTGTAATGGAAGCTTTCGTCTGGAGGTGAAGAAACTGCTTATATTCCTAAACGGTTGAGTCTACAAACTTGTCTGCTAAATTAAAGACAACACGAATTTTCAACTTCAGCTAAGAAACATGAACTACAAAGGTGCAAGGCAAACGTACTACAGAGGGTGCAGGCACCATACAATATTTGATAAAAAGGAAGTTCTTTGGATTAGAAATATTCAATGCAACACAGACATAAGACTTTATTTTATTTTCTAGATGAAGGTCATAAATTATTCAATAGGGTTTTCCTTTTGTGGTCAAGTCTCATATGGATCAGCTGTTGCCTTGCCTTTGCATTTACATGGTTGCAGTTTGAAGACATTGGTGAAAATTTGGCATGTCTCTGCTCCATATATATGAAACGAATCAACTGAAACAAAAAGAATGTTCTTCTTTGGAAATGTCACCAAGTTGGCATGCTAAGTCTGTCATGATTTGGTTTTTGAAGCTGCCACACAGCATTGTTTAGTCCATGTTTCCCACACGCCAAACTTACCAACTCATCCATCAAAATATGATTTGAGAATCACATGAATTTATCTGGCATCGATGGGAAGGGATATGAACAGGAGCCATTGTGGACTTGGCATCATAATTGAGTATTGTGTCTGTAGGAGGAGGAGCTGTTTCTATTTTGTAATACCAATTATTCTCAACTTGCCTGCAAACAAAAATGACTAAAGTATTAAAAAAAAGTATATTTTTCAATCTTCAACTTCAGATGTCAATGGTTGGTCATACCTATGCCCATATTCATGCTTTATTTTCATTTTTATATGTCAATTATTCAATGAATATTTAATTACACGTTCATGCACCAAAAAAACGTTGTGAGTCAAGAACTTTGAGAAGGAAAAGTTGATCAAATGATTGAGTGCACAAATTCAAGGAATGCAACAGTCTGTCAACTAGGAAATAGACAAAATTGCTGTTTGATCTTATTATATGAATGCTACAAGGTACTTCTAATCAATGCTGTATTTCTTAGTATTGCAAAGTTTGAATAAGGAAAACAATAAGATGACAAAATTCTCTAGTCAAAACAAAATCACAGTTCAGTCAGGGTAATTAAATAAAAAAATTAAAAAAAAAAACTAAGTATCTCACTGTTCAGTTTGTAGTGTGACTTATACACTAAATGCTTTGCATCAATTCTCTGACATTGTCTTTTCTTTTTATGGTCTTATGAGTTAGGAATCCATTATTTACCCAATCCTTACAATACACATTATACTGAGTAAGCGAAAACATTTGGAGGGTTAGAAAGATTGAGATATAATCAAATAGCTCAACACTTGTTAACTTTTTTCATCGATCACATATATTTACAAGTATAAGTTTGTCATGGGGGAAAACTCTTTTTCTTTGACTAGTGGTTGAAGATGTTGAGTAGGGAAACTCTAGTTCTAATTAGTTGCCTTGAGAGGCATTCTACTCCTACTTCTAGATTTTTAATGCAAATCTCCAAGTTTTCTCTATGTCTTTGAAAATTATCAACAGATGAAGGCTTGTGATTGATGAGAGACATCAAAGCAGCATCCACCTTTTCAAATTCATTTGCATCTGCTTCTTGAGAATCACATGCCACTCTATTTGGCTTCACCAACTTGGAGATTATTGACCACCTGTTCTGTTTAGGTTGTCCCTTTAAGCCAGTGATAAACAACAAGAAGGATTCTAATAAGCTCACTGTGACTACTTTTGATTCTTTTAAGATGCTAAGCATGGACAATGTCTCATTGTCTTTGTTTGAGGTAGAGTTCATGAGATCATTCTTGAATCCTTTCAAATTAACCAAGGCCTTTCGAATTGCTTTCTTTATCTGTTTCCTGGAAGACAAGTATCTCCCACTCTCAATGGTGAATCCAGCTTCAGCATCTCTTCTCCTGCGAATAGCTGACTCGAGTTCATTCATGCTTTCCTTTTGTTGCCGTAAGCAATCTTTAATTGTACCACAAATATCCAAGATCTTCACAGATCCATCTAATAGTTCATCAACACATTTGTTGCTACATTCTCGTGCCAAGGCTTGCTGAGTGATTGGCAATTGGAGAAGCTTATCAGCACACTCATGCAAATCCTGCAAGGCATCAAGTTTATAGTTTATTGAAGATGATGTTGAAGAAGAGGTGGCTTCAGAATCCTTCAATCTGAGCAGTTGCTCCTCAAATTGTGATGTAAAGGGGTGAGGTGCAGAGGGCAAGCTGTTGCTGCGAAGATGAAGAGAGCTCTTTGTGTTTGTTTCAACGACTGCCATATTTTCTTCTCAGAGAAAAGGTGGCTAGGTAAAAGTTGTTCTAAACTTCTGGTTAGTACTTCCAGTGTTTGGTACATACATACATACATATATATATATATATATATATATATATATATATATATCAAACGAATTGATTAGACATGAACAATATTTTTATCATCAAATGTTGCAAAGTGAGCATGCAACTCAATTATCTTAATTTGGATCTTATCACCTTAGTGCTACCACAGCATTGTTTGCTCAATGCTTCCCATGAACCAAGCTTCACAACTCATTCACAATTTTTTATTTTGGAAATTACATGAATATGGCAGCAACCGTAGATATCATATCTCCTTCATCATTACAGGTCCAAGATATAAAATCTTAAGCTGTGAACTACACGAGGGCATGTTACTGCAGTGAGCACTATTAATCAGATTTTTTGTCTGCAGGAGGAAAAACAATTCTATTATAAATAACAATTTGGCTTAAGACATAAATAATATTGTTTGGAGGGTATCTCTTAATCTTTAGACATCTACGGTTGGTCATATCTGGATTATATTGTTGATGCAGTGTTCCCAAAGTCATAATTGATCTGTTGATGTTTATGTAAATGCATGTATGTAGCTAATGATACCCTCTGCCCAGCTACAATGAAATAGCGAACACCCTCGTGCACATTTTATTATTCCCATTCTATTCATGGTGGTCTGATTCATATGAACGTGGAACCAATTTTAATTTAACATAGAAATTTTGATTTTCTGAGCACCAATTACCAAACACTTTACTTCTCATTTTCTGTATAGAAAAACAATTACCATATTTACGAATTTTTAATCCCCGGGGTTGACAGATATGAAGTGATTCAAAAAGAGGTCAATTACATTACAGATTGTCCTAAAAGGGAAATCAGTGATTAAGATACCACAATACCATAAGGAGTAGTGAAGTGAGTATCTAACTCACCCCCATCTACAAGAAAAATAACGCAGGTATACCCTTAAACATGAGGGAAAAACAATGAAATTATATAAGGGCAACTATGATTTTAATGAAACGCCTAAGTTTTGACTCTAGTTCTTCTTCAAGAGATCTTGTATAATGGGTCCCAGTCTGGCCTACTCATTTTGCAAGTCATTAGTTTAAATCCTTCAGCATATAGGGGATCATGTACAAAGAAAGTGATGGATTTTTCCCCTGATTGTGTGGAATTATTATTCATGTAAAAGTTTCTGAAATATTATTGCCAAATAATTTGTTGTTGTAGCCACAATTTGAGTTCTGACGGTGATAATATAAATTATGGATTTTGCTTTATTCTCTTTCTATTATGTAGGAAGATAGCAAAAGGAAAGTGCTTATTGATTTAATTGTCCTCATAACAAGAAGACAAGCATAATACGGTTCATTGCATTGAGCAAGTAAAATTTGTGCCCATACAATCGAGGCAATAATAGATTTTAATCATTGTTCAACAACCAACCATAGCAGCTTCGATATTGATCCAAAACACCATGTGGGTTGAATACTTGAACAAAGTCTGCACCGTGGTTGGAGAGTATATGCTTAGCAACGCGAAGATTTTAATTAGACCATAACAAATTTTTTTTTTAAATAAAAGAAAGCATCTGACCATTAACTTTCAGATTTTTAAACACGTTTTTTTGTAACTTTCAGATTGATGAGTCAAATTATTTGGATTAAGGCCTCAAACTTCAACACATTTACTCTTTTGTCGTACTTGTTTCCAAACGAGACAATAGATATACTTAAAGGAAGAATGATATATGGGAGGTATGTATATTAAGCTATTCAAAGGAAGGAGGTGAGGAAATGAAAGATAAATATAGCAGCTAGAATTTGAGTGTTGGATAAGCTATAATCATTAGTAAAATCTTAATTACATTCATGTATAAATAATGGGGTATAGTCAATGCTCAGTGAGATCAAAATGTATCTGTTAAGGTTCCAACATAAAACCAATTGACAATATGTGAAGTAGCCTAACATGTATTTAAACTATACCAAATGACATGAGGTAGGCGATGTGGGACTTTCAACACACTCACTCCAACGAAGCCGGACCAAGCAAAGGGTACTTTTGACCCAACTAAAGGACAACTTTTGGCCCATGACAATAACCGAAAAGATGTTAGGCTTTAGCTCTGATACCATGTTAAGGTTCCAACATAAAATCAATTGGCAACATGTGGAGTAGCCTAACATGTATTTAAACCATAAACATCCCCTCCAACGAAGCCTGCCGAACCAGGCAAAGGGTACTTTTGACCCAACTAAAGGACAACTTTTGGCCCATGACAATAACCGGAAAGATGTTAGGCTTTGGCTCTGATACTATGTTAAGGTTCCAACATAAAACCAATTAACATGGTATCAGAGCCAAAGTCTAACATCTTTCTGGTTATTGTCATGGGTCAAAAGTTGTCTTTTAGTTGGGTCAAAAGTACCCCTTTGCCTGGTCCGACAGGCTTCGTTGGAGGGGGTGTGTTGAAAGTCCCACAGCGTCTACCTCATGTCATTTGGTATGATTTAAATACATGTTAGGCTACTCCACATATTGTCAATTGGTTTTATGTTGGAACCTTAACATGGTATCAGAGTCAAAGTCTAACATCTTTCCGGTTATTGTCATGGGTCAAAAGTTGTCCTTTAGTTGGGTCAAAAGTACCCTTTGCCTGGTCCGGCAGACTTCGTTGGAGGGGGTGTGTTGAAAGTCCCACATCGCCTACCTCATATCATTTGGTATGGTTTAAATACATGTTAGGCTACTCCACATATTGCCAATTGGTTTTATGGTGGAACCTTATTGATTATAGATGTTTGAGAAGGGAAACTCTTGTTCTTCTGAAAAAGAGACTGCCATGCTCTATCACTTCCTTAAATTCATGTTTGATTGGTCAGCATCATAATATACTCTACAGACAGAAAAGATAACAAAGGCTTCAGCTTCTTTTGAAGTTACTGATCATTGGAAGTGTCTCATTGTCTGTATCTGAGAAAGTTAAAACGAGACGCTTCTTAAATCCCTTGAATAAGGCCTTCTGAATAAGTCTTCTTTGCCTTCTTCCTTAATGACAAGAATTTTCCACCCTCAATTTTTAATGCTGCTTCGCCCCCTCTCCTCCGAACAGTTAATTGAAGTCCTTTTACGCTTTCTGTTGACTGTAGGAGAACACCCTTGGCAATTCTGCAGATTTCCAAGTGCCTCAAAGACCCTTCTAGAAATTCATCGACCCATGTTTTGCAGGATTCTTGTGCCAAGATTGTTGTATGGTTGGCAATTGAAGAATCTTATCTGTGTATTCATGCAAAACGTGTATTCCATCAAGTTTAATGCTTATTGATGAGGAGGAGGAGGAGGAGGAGGTGGCTTCAGAAGCCTTCATTCAATCTTTGCAAGTGCCCATCATATTTTTATATAAAAGGGTGAGGTGCAGAGGACACACTATTTGAGCGATTATGCAGTTGCTGGTAAAGTTACAAAATCATAGAGAACATTCTGTGGTATTATGCAAGAATCAAAAGTTAGGACTCAGATAATTCGGTCTTTTTCCTGTTATTCAATGTATTGAGTTGGTAGCTTACAAATTACTTCTACCTACATCAGCGAAAATTCATCCAGTTTTTCATGTTACTGTTGAAGAAGTGTATTGGTGATCATAAAGAATCTTATCTCTCATTGCCTTTGTCAACTAATGAATTTGGCTCCTTAATTCAATATCCTAGACTCTAGAATTGTATTACGAGAAAATCAACACGTTCCTCGTATTCTGATGTAGTGGGATAATTTGAATCCAACACAGAAATAATATACTCCTTCCATAGTGTCACAAAGTTGGCATAGAATATCATCATCACGACATGAACTGCTTCCCTCGCACCATGGTTCCAACTCTGGAATCTTCCATACGCGGGGCTATTCTGTGCGCTCCTAAGCTTATTAACAGGTTTCGTTTAAAACTCCTAGGGTACGTGTTAAAGATACACTGAAACTGAACCTTATCAGATAATGATGCTCAATGCTTGTTCCTAACCCTCGAACCACTGACTATCAATGTATGAAAGAATAAACGCCCGACAGCTATTATTCTGCAAGATTGTTTACAGCCACTTTTCTGGCTGGTTATGCGTTCTCCTACGCCTAATTGAGAATTGATTTCAACATTCATTATATTATGTTGTGTTACGTGGCTACATTAATATCATAAAACGTTTAGCTGTAAACGCGGTGACTGCGAATCCAACATACTATAGAATAGTACAGAACTTAAAACGAGCAATTGACCACTTAAAACACTACAAGGTAATTGAATAAATGCAAGGGCACAGTAAGAGCAACGCAAATGTAGTGGGCAGTAGAATTATTTTTCATTTACTGCTTCCAGGTTAATAAGTTTTAATTGTACTGCTTCCAAACGTTTGTTATTGACTTCATAAGCTTTACGAAAAAAATTCTCTGACGATGAAATTCACCTCTATTAACAACTTACAAAAATACTTAAAAACTGTACTTATAATTCACATCAAGGAAGACGTGGTGCGAATGACCTCAGCTGGGATACGAATTGTTCATACGTCTAAATAAACAATGCTATAGACCATGGACAAAATGAATATGAAAAATCCAATTAATAATCATAATGAAAATATCACAATTACTTCATATGCAAATATGTTGATCATTTTCTCAAACTTGATTTTACCAGCCAAAAAAAATATTCCAAGTGAAATTAACAGAACTCTTGTACTGACTACCACCCCAGCCAAAAAACATAATTAAATCCGAAACAAATATTTTCCACATGGTTTGGTTATCAAAAAAAATCTCTGCCACATTAACAATTCAAGTAAATGAAACATGTAAAAATAAGATAACAGTCAGAATATTTTGAAAGGTAAAACGTTGGAAGGAAACCAAAAATAAAACCTCAAAATGGATCCAGCAACAATTTAGAACTTGAAAGGGACAATACTTCACTATTTCTACGAATACTCCATAACCTAAGAACAATTTCACATTTAGGTGTTCGTTGCCCTCGTGTAAATTTGCTGACTTGCATGGGCAGACACCATCCTGATGGAACCTCTAGCCATCAGTTCTCTTATCGCCTTCCTTGCCAGCGATCCGTTAATCTGTAAAGTGCATGTAAAACAATTATATATTATTTGATATATCATTTATTTTGACAGTTTTCAGCCACATGCAACTGTCAGTCTGCACCACATAAGCGGCAGACTTATATATTAAATCAATACATAGAGCATGTCAACTGAAATTGTTAGACTAGCATCAAATCCAATGGACGGGCAGGCTTATGCCTTGTACAAATAACCTTTAATATTTTAGACGCAAGGTCATCAAACATGCATTAAGCTACTCAAATGATTATCAAGACATGCATTGTATACATCGAGGTGAAAGGGCATGTTGCCCTATAAGAGGCCAGCTCTTGAATCCTAAAGAGGTACACTAAAGTCATTGTCAATTTCAGGTTGATAATATGAACAGTGAACTTTGAAGATGACGTATGAAGTTGATAATCAATTATTGAACAATCAACAGTTCAGTCTTTTACAACATATTAGACACTGGATTAACACTCAAGGATGAGAGAAAATACTTATTTTCTCATGAACAGTTAGTCAGTTACCATTTGAATTTTTTCAAAATCCAAACAAAATCAAACACCATGACAAATACAACAAAACTATATAAACACTCACCAACAAAACAACATAGCAGAAAACCATATGTACAACTCATATGATTCAGATTGCATACAATAATATTCCACGATTAGTACTTGTTTGGTCCAAATTAAGTATACGCATACAATCACTTATTCGTTATTCAAGAAGCTGGAAAAAATAACAATTATTTATTCATAAATAAGCAGAACTAGAAACACATTTTCTTGGGTGATGAATATGCATAATAGGAAACGACAAATCCTAGGCTAATTGGAGAAAAGAGTGCAAGTGACACTCAAATGAAATCATGCCTAAAACCCACGTTGACTCATAAAACGTACTAATCTGTTAGATCACAAAAAAAAAAAAAAAAATACCCTCAATCGATCAGAGAGGATGGACGGAGTGATAAGCTTATATTTGGGTGCTTCGGTGAGGAGCTTGTCATAGGTACCCTGATCAAACAGCACCATGTTGTTCACCTTCTCCTTTTGCTTTCCCTTGCTCCACTTCTGTTAAGGCAAATTTCAACCAAGACATCACATCAAACATCTCTCGTATTTCACGAACACACAGAAAAATAAACTCTAACAAACAAAAAATGAAGTTCTGGCAGATGATAAAATAAAGGTAAAGGCACCAACCCAGATATACCTAATAGACCAGACAAATTATATTAAGTAACAAATGAAACTTTAACAAAAGACAAACCTTCTTCTTCTGCTTGCCACCGCCAGATTTGGCGGGCTTGGAGGAAGGTGGAGGAGCCTTATCCTTCTTCGGAGCCTGCAAGCAATAACCCACAAATTCAATCACAATTCTCATGAACTAGGGAAAGTAAAGAAGAAGATTTGCTCGTCGGAAACAGAAAAAACGCACCATGATTTGTGAGAGGTAAAGTAAAGTAACAGAAGAAGTAGATGAAGGTTTACACTCTCTCTCAGGCAGAGGCGGAAACACAAATCTCCGAAAACCCTAGCTTCTTTATAAGAGACACACGATGTCTAATTCCTCCCGGGCTTGTGGCCCAACAGGCCCATCTTAAAACCCAATAGATTTTGTTTTGGTATATAGATTCAAGTTTCTATTTGTCACACCAAAAGTCAAAGAACTTAATAATTTTCATATACTACTGGTTTGATGTATAATAATATAATATTAATAAATAACTTACACTAATTTTTTCGTTTCTTTTATCTCTACCCTATTTTCTTATTTTTAAAAATAAATATATGTTGATTCTCTTAAATTATTCAAAAATATTTCATAATATATTTCTAAAAAATTCAAAAAAATAGAAAACTGAGTAGAATCTGTGTTGAATTGTGCATACTATATATCGGTTCAAAAAAAAAATCTGTGTATTAAAAATTATAAAATCATGTTATTCTTAACTTTTTAATAATTAAAAATATTTCATGACCTTCATAGAGAAAATGAAAAATAACAATTCTTTAATAATTTCAGCATAAGTTTAATAAGTTGAAGTAAGTTATTTGTACGGTACCTTTCTTAAGATTTTTGTTTTTTTAAAAGATATCTTGTTTTTTGCTTTGGTTAAAAATATATTTTATTCTCGTAATTTTGATTTTTTTTTTAAATGTGTTTTTTTTTTAAATAGAAAAATTGTCTATTCATGCTGTCTTTCAGTTTGGTTCACTACTAATAATTAACTCTTAAAACGGCAAAACAGTGAAAAGAAAATATAATTACAAGCAAAATAATATAATAATTCCTTTAAAATTTATATGATTATCGGAATTTGAAATTTGACATTATCACCTTTAAATTCAAATATAAAAAAGTGAGATCATGAAAAAAAAAATATTTTCAATTGTTATATATATATATATATATATATATATATATATATATATATATATATATATATATTATCGAATAAATATCATAAATAAATATATTTAATTTATTAATTTAACTAATAAATATAATTTATTATTATTTTTCTTATTTGTTATTATTTATGTTTTTTCTTTTTTTCTATTGTCTTTTATTATTCTTGTCTCTTTTACACATTTTTTAATTTAAAATATTAAATTATAAATTATTAAAAATATTTTTAAAAAATTATATTAAAACTAAAAACATTAATTAATTATTTAAAATTGTGATGATAATAAATAGTTAATTTAAAATTATTTTATCATAATAAATCAATTACTAAACTAATTAAAATATTAAATTTTTTATTTTTTATTTAGTAATTAATTATAATTAAATTAAATCATAATTATTATTTAAATTAATTAATTTTATAAATGTATTTATTAAAATATTTTAAAATAAATATTTTATTATTTCATGTTGATTTTTAAAAATTAATATTTTATTATTTAATGTAGTATTTTTAATTAAAATACTAATATAATAAAACGGAAAAAAGAAAGAAGAAAAATTAGAAATAAATAAATAAAAATAATGAGTAAATTAAAAAAGAAAAAGGGAAAAAAACAACAAGTAAATAAAGAAAAAAATAAGAGAAAGATGAGTGAAAAGGAAAAAAAAAACTACTTTGTGTAGAACTATATTCTTTATGATAAAATGTTGTGTATCAATCCTGAACCGATTTGGTTATTTAAGTAAATTGATAAATATTTTATTTAGATAAATTTTATTTTAATATATATTATTCAGTAAATTGATTTCTCGATTATCATTGTAATGTAAATGCTATAATTTTTACATAAATGAAAATTAGTAGAAAATATAAGAAATTATTATTTTACAAAGAAAGTTTTATTTTAATAAATTATTATTACTATTAGATTTATAAAAATTATATGAGTAATTTAATATATGTTTCTTTTTTATTATGATATTGCATTATTATTTAAATCAAATATTTGTAAACATACATATTTTTATAATTAAAACATTTTATAATTATATATCAAAGTATATATTATTAAAAATAGATATTAACTTAAAAATGTAAATTTAAAAAATTATTTCATTCATAAAAGCTAAATACAGTAATAATTGTGTGAATAAGTTAGTTAAAAAAATATTTAATTTTAATTAATTTATTTATTAATTTTTTTCATAAATACCTTCTTGGAGATAAATTTGTAGAGCTAAGAAGATATATTTATGATTTTTGTTTGATTTAATGGGGTGTTTGGTAGAGGAAAAAAAAAACAGTTTATGTTGAAAATCATTATCTAGATTGCATGAGCACAAAGATCCACAGACATGAAGAAATGGAAACAAAAGGAGTTAATAAAATAATTGTTGATGCATTGAAAACTTTTGAAGTAACTATTTTGTGTTTACAGAAGAGGTATTATTCTTCATCCTGTTTGAGATCCCATGAAGAAGCATTTGTAGAAGCAGGAAGAAGAGGGAGAAGTCATTGTTTCACTGATTCTGTGGGAAGGTCCTGCTTTCAATAATGCAGAATCTGGAACCATATCCACACACATAGCTCTTAAGTAGCATCACAATCTGATAATGATATTTTCAATTTCAGATATTATTGTCACATCTATTTTATTCCAATTTTTAAGCCCTGTACTTCCACTAGTTTAATCTCATTTCTTATATACCATTAACGTGAAAAATATGGCATTGATAGATATTTTTAGTATCATCCATCTAATGAGTTTTTATATCAGTATTGTACTTGTAATAATGGCAATAATAAAGAAAATAATTAAATTATTATTATCATTCCTATAAAATTCTAAAATATCATTATAATAGTATTAGAGACATGTGTTTTAAAGACCATTAACTCATTTTAAATCTTTTAGAAGGAGATTTTCAAAAATATTTATTATTTTGATATTTTTTATAATATTAATCATTTAAAACAAAAAAGGCTGAAGGGTAAGGCGTGTAGAAGCAGCGTTTGTTTCTCATCATCTGTCTTTTCATTCGCTATCTAATCACAAGGATCAGACAAATATTCTGCTTTTTATTTTTAGTTTTATTTTTGTTTTCACTTTTTAAAGTTTGGAATTAATTCTACAACACCTTATTTAAAAATTGCCAATTGTCACCCCCTCGTCAGAATAGCAACTCAAACCCATCAATTTCCACGTCAAGTTATTCCTTTCAGTCCAAATACAGTTTAGAAAGAAGAACATTCCAAGTTCCACAAATAATTCAAACTGCAATGTATGTAAAGAGAATGGTGATGAATTTTATACAAATTACTAATTTCTCAAACTATATATATTTATATCTCAACTTACCAACTCTTTATTTCTAATCATATATTAAGAAACTAAATTTCTTTAAGGCTAAATTATAAATCCCTTATTTCTAATCATATATTAAGAAAAAGATAAAATTAGAAAGAGTAGACGATGGAATATTGAGAGATTTTTATTTTAGTATTTTCTGAAAAGTTTGGATTCTGGTCTATAAAGAAGAAGGAATAGCACCACTTCCAGAGCCACTCTGTTCTCTGTATGCAAAACAGAGTTCACATCTCACGTCAAATTCACTTCCCCTTTTTCCTCTGTATCCATGCTTCCAACTGCAGAAGCCTCTTCACAGTTCTCTGCAACATCGCGCACACGTTCTATTGCCATAGACAAGTTTCTATTCCCTTTTGAGTGAAACACAGAAAACACATCATCTCTTCAAGCAATGGACTCGTTCAGCTTCAAAAACCTCCAAGCAGAGAAAGCCAACGCCATGCTCAAATACCGCAAGCTTCGAAGGGTCGCGAGCTTGTTACGTATAATCGAAGTGTGCGCCGTGTTGGTGTTGGTTTCAAGGTTCTCCATGCAGCTTCCCGTTGCAGTGAGAAACTCGAGCGAGTACCTGAGAGACTTGTCACTCTTCATGAACAGTCCTCGCTTTGTTTTCCTCCTCGGAAACATCATAATCATCGCACTCTTCGCTCAGTTCTCCGCTCAGGGTAACAACGTCGTTGCGGAGCCTGATCTTTACCAAGAGTTCGTTCAAAACACAACAAAAAACCACAACTTTGTTGCGGCAGAGAAACAGAGGATGAAAACAGGGGAAGCCAAGAAAGGTTATAGAAGGTGCGAGACGGAGATTTTGAGGGCGAAACGATGTCGTGTGTTGCGCAGGTGTGAGACTGAGAACAAAATGAAGAGAATTGAAGGTGCCCCTGTTGAAGAAGTGGCGCGAATTTCGTGCCCTGAAGATGGAATGAGCAACGAGGAGTTTCGTCGCACTGTGGAGGCTTTCATAGCCAGGGAACAGAAGATTCGAAGAGAAGAAGATTATTATTTAATGTAAACAAAATATGTCTATACTTCTGAAAAAAAAAAGAAACAAAGTGTGTAAATAAAGTATTAAATAACTGCTTATTTTAATTTTACCTGTTTGTATCTTTAATTAAATTGTTAAAGTTTTTTATTTTGTGATGTGGAGTACTTGCATGATGAAGGGGTTCTAATAGTATTAAGATTTTTTCAGACAAGTCTTTTCATCAATAAAAGGGAGAACAAAAATTACAAATTAAAATTATTTTACGTTCGAACAAAAATAAAACCAGATATTTTTTTTATAAATTCGTTCATATATTGTTTTATAAAAAAAAAAAATGTCATGTCAGTGAGGTATTCTGGTTCTTTAGATGTTAGAATAGTGTGGAGATGAGGGGACAAAATAATAGATGCTATTCTCTGGTTTCGACTGATAATATGTATTTTAGTTTTTAAGAATATATTTTTGTCTATATATTTTAAGGATAATCTTTGATGCTGCCAAAGTTGCCAGGTGGTTTATTTTTAAAGAGAAAAATCAAGAATATACCCGTTTTCGGAATGCAAGAAACAAATAGAGAAGGGGAAAACTTAGGTGGAAGAGAATTTTAGAACATTTGATGGAAGATAAGTTTTTTTGTTAACGTTTGAGAAATAAGTAATGACAATTTGATTTCTCCTTAATTTTTGTTATTTTTTTTACTTGAGGAACAAAAATTGCATGGACATGGCTGTTATGAATGTTAGTTATTAAAGCATGAGATAAAACATTATTAATTTTTATATCTATCCCAACAGATTTCTTTAGTTTTGGTTGTATTTTATGATTTATTGTCGATAGGAAATAAAACAATAATAATTATATTATCATATTAAATATATCGAGATGTTTTTGTTTATAGATAAAATAATCTTATTTATAATTTTTTTAGATTTATAAAATATAGTATCTAATTAGATCCACTAATACATACATTACATTCAAAATAATATTATCTGACAAACAAAAATTAATATTAAAGTAAATATAACGAAAAATAAGTAAAGATTGTGATTTAAAAAAATAACTGAAATAATAATAATAATAATATTATTATTATTATTGATAATGATAATAATAAAAATGAATGAAGCATTATTATTATACCATAAGAATGAAATGTAAATTTTAGGTTTTTGAGTTGATATAAATGATACCATCTGCCACATGTTATTTAGGGTTAAGTATGTTTTTAGTCCCTATATTTTAATGTAAAATTGAAAATAGTATCTTTGTCATAGTACATATAAAAATGATTCCTTTATTTTTTAAATGATTGAAATATGTTTTTATTTAAAACGACATTAAGTATATGCTTACGTGTCTAACAAAAATGGTATGACACATTCATTATTTGACACGTGTAATTATTTAAAAAAATTAAATTAAAAGGTGTCAAGTTTGTTAGACAAATGACATCTAGAGGGGAGTGAATAGATGCACAAATTAAAATAGATGTCAAATTAAAAATTTATTTGTGAGTCAATAATTTGTTTGAACACAGATAAAGTGGAAGCGATAATATAATCAGGAAAAGAGAAAGAGATAAGGGAAAGAGAAGAGTATACAGTGATTTATACTGGTTCAGGTATAATCAACCCTACATCCAGTTCTCAGTCAACTCTTAACACAAGAGTGACTCCCCATTCACTATCTTTCAAATTCAGTTTACAAATTACAATCAACTCAGCAGAAGAACTAGTAAAAAGTAAACTAATTAAAAAGACAATCACCTCCTTAGAAACCCACTAAGGATGAACACCTCCCTAGAATCCCACTAGGGATGAACACTTCCTCTGAACAAATCAAAGGATGAAAAAATATCTCCTTAGAATCCCACTAAAGATGAACAACTCCCTAGAATCACACTAGGGATGAAAACCTCCTTTGAACAAATCAAAGGATGAAAACACTTCCTTTGCCACCAATACACAAAGGATGAAGGTAATAAAAATGAGAACAGACACACTTGGGTAATGGAGACAACAAATTGTAGAAGCTTGTAGAATGTCAATCTCCAAGAACAAGTGTGATTAACAATGCAAGCACAGAAGTAAGTAGAGAAGAGGGTTTTCTCAAAAGGTGTAAAATATCTCTATTGTCTTGCTCAAAATTATTTTCTCAAAATTGATTGAATGTAAATTGTATTTTCGAATTTTGTAATTGTGTGTATTTGATTTTTCATCAAAACTTAATTAAATAGAAAAATAGCATCAGAAAATGGTTGTTGGACATTAATATTTTTGTGAATAAAAATCAGGATATATTCAAAAATATTTATTCTTCAAAACAAATATATTTTTCAAATTTGAATTGTCATAATTGATTATGTTACCAATATAATCAATTATGATAGAGAAAATCATTTTTCCATTTCTGATGCATCATAATTGATTATGACAGTGAAAAATATTATGTTATGAATTTTATCACACTTGTGTTTTGGAGGCTTATGCATAATATTACTTCATCAACTTGTACCTCCATATCCAGTATTCTAAGACTCTATCTAGTCTTCAGGAATCATCTTGGGCTTGCTTGAATCATCATCTTTATCAAAAACATATCTTGGGCATGTAGGAAAATGTTTCACATTTTCACCAACGTCATAAATTCAGCTTGTTCTTAATTCATCTTGAATGGTGTTGACTTGAATGTAGTTGACTTGAATCATCATCAAAATCATCTCTTGGGAATGTAGGGACATTTCCATCAATCTCCTCCTCATTGCTTTCAATCTCCCCATTTTTGATGATGATCAAGGAAACACCTGAAATGAATTAAAATGCTTGACTCTATATAGCCAGCTCAAGATTAGCACAGATTTGTAAGTGTTAGAGTCTCTTAATCTTCGCCTGGATATATTAATAACAATAATCCCCCTAATTCATATGAGCAAAGACTTCTCTTAACTCCTCTTGTTTAATTTAGATAGGAAAGAATTTCACACAGATTTTAATTCATCAAAAAATCTCCCCCTGTTTCATTGATAATCATAAAAAATATTATAAGAAAAAATATTCCCCTATTTCACACAAATTAATATTATCAAAATATCTTCCTATTTCATTGATAATTATAAAAAAAATATTATAAGAGAAAAAAAATCTCCTCCTGTTTCACACAGATCAAAATATCTCTCTGTTTCATTGATAATTATGAAAAATATTATAAGAGAAAAAATCTCCCGTGTTTCACACAGATTTGTATCAACAAAATATCTCCCTGTTTTATTGATAATTATGAAAAATATTGCAATAGAAACTAAGAACAAATTTGTACATATTAGTACATAAATCAAGGTAGAGAAGATAATGCATTACAAAGTGTCATAGAGAAGAATATCATATTAAGGAGACAATATTTAGGATACCCAAGACAAATGACGAGAGAGAAAGATAGGGGAATAAAATGATTATAGAGATAATGGAATGAAATACAGTAGTTTCCCCCCAATTGTAGTCTTATTATTTAGACAGCTTTCAAATTCAAATTAATTCATATTCCAGATTTCAAATTTCAAATTCAAATTGTAACAAATTTCAAATTCAAACAAATTTCAAATTCAAATTTCTAATCCCAAATTTCAAATTCAAATTTCAAATTCCAATTTAGATTCAATTTCAAAAATCTCATACTGCAAATTTTAAAAAAAATCTCAAACTGCAAAATTTCAAATTTCAAAAATCTCAAACTGCAAGATTAAAAAAAATCTAAAATTGCAAAATTTCAAATTTCAAGAATCTCAAACTTCAAAATTTTATAAAAAATCTCAAACTGCAAAATTTAAATTTCAAAAATCTCAAATTGCAAAATTTCAAACTTTAATAATTTCAAATTTTCATAAATTCAAACTTTCAACATAATTGATTATGACAACAAGAAAAAAATTTCCGATTCTGATAATCAATTAGATGCTCAAACTATCATCTAGACATATATAAATGTTTTGTTCCTTTAGGCACCCATTCATATTTGTCATTAGATATGCCAAAATGTTTTATGTAACATTTATTTGATGTATGATCTATTTTCATGCAATAAAAACATGTTGGTTTTCTTTGAAAAGGTCTAAATGAGTTTTTTAAAGTTTTTGAAACTGGTTTCACATCTGTTTTCCTTGAATTTTTCACAAAAATAGTTTTATGAGGTTCTAGACTTTCTTTGGATTTGTAACCAAGTCCAGCTTTGCTAGAATTCCCTCTTTGATAACCTAATATAGAATCAAGATTTTCAGAAGATTTTGAAAACTTGCTTATTATTTTCTCTAACTTGAAAATCTCATTTTCCAAATGATTACAATTTTCACAAGATTTAGCAACTTCTTTATTTTTAGGCAAAATTTTAAATTTCTCAGCATATTTCTTTAAGCACTCATTTTCTTTTTCAAAAATACCAACAGTATTTTCTAATACATTAAACTTTTGCCTAAGTGCATTATATTTCTTAGATAACTTGGTAAAACCTTCATACATATCTTGATATTCTTTAAATAACTCATCATATTCATTTAAGGAATTTGTACTACTTATCTGTGATGAGGCTTCATCATCACTTTTTGTCATCAAGCAAAGATTTGCTTCTTCTTCTCCATCATTGCTTTCGGAAGAACTCTCTTGTGTTATAGAAGAATCATTATCCTCCCAAGCAATATAAGCTTTGCGTTTTCTCTCATAGGTATCGTTCTTTTCTTTCTTCTTCTCTTTCATATATTTCTTCTCTTTCTTAAGTTCCGGACAGTCTGGTTTGATATGACCAAGTTTTCCACATTCATAGCAATGGAATTTATTTGTTTTCTCCTTTATTTGTTGTCTCTTTTTCCTGTTCTTTATAAAGCGAGAAAATTGTTTAACAAAAAGAGACATATCAGAGTCCGAAAATTTACCTTCATTTTCGCTTTCGTCTTGTGAAGATTTTTCTGCTTTTAGAGCACCTTTATAGCTCCATCTCATGTTCTTGCAGCTTTCCAAATAGAGTAGCAATGTACATTT